GGTTCAATAACGTTACTTTAAAAATTGGAATACTTCAATTGCAACTTTATAAATATTTAACGTACATACATATATTTTAAAGATTATTCACTGCAAACTACTCGTGTGTTAAAAATTAAAACGCCTCCTTTCAACGGTTGAAAGTTGATCGCCCTGATGGAGGATCTTGCGAAGAGAGGGGGAGGGAGGAGGATGGACGAGAAACGGGCGCGCCGGTTTCCAGGAAGGTGTGTAAAAAAGAAAAGTGCAGGAACAGGCGGGCAGAAATAGCGGTGGTTAATTTTGCACCGGTCCAAGCTATAAACGTACATCATACAGCCTCCGCGTCTGTTCAACGTCTGTCCTCCTTCCTTCCTTCTTTCTTCTTTCGCTCGCCCTTCTATTCGCAATCTAGACGTCTGCTCGAGTTTTACGAGACTTGAAACTTCTTCCTCCAAAGTTCCTCCACCTCTTAGTCGCTTCTCTTCGTCGGCGTTGTTTTAATTATGAAATTGGGATCGTTGATGAGGGAGGAGGGGAGATTTGGTAAACGAAGAGAAGTCAGACTGGTTTATTACGTTTATTACGAGTGCTGAAGCCGATCGTCGAAGGAACACCTTTTTTTTTTTTTTCATCGGTCGAAACGATTCTACACTTCGCTCTACGTTCTTTTTTTAACACTAAACCTATCACGCGCGGTCAAATGACCGTTTTTGAAATTTCCTTTAGAATTTCTTCTGTATGCAAAGTTACTGTATCGCCATATGAGTTTACAATAGCACAAAATTCGGTGTAGATATAACCGATCACACGTTATTGTAGCACCAGGAAAATATTTTGTTTATAATATCCAATTAGCTAAAATCTCTTTCTATATTAAGATACAAATGTTTCTTTGCAGCGGTCATTTGAATAGGTATGGTAGGAAGAAAAATTAAATTGCTGTAAATTATTTGCGAAAATCCTTTATAAAATACAATAATTTTGCTCCAATTTTTTGGAGGGACAAATTGATAATAGCTGAAATTAATAATCGATGCTGTCGATACAATGCCCGGAAGTTGAAGCCATGAAACAGATATTTAGAGACATAGAGGATTTTCTTCGTTTATTTGCTGTGGTTCCTCCCCTCCCCCCTCCCTCTTTCCTCGTCCTTGCCGCAGAAGGGGTCGAAGGAAAAACAAATGAGGCAGCAAATCAAAAGGGGTTCCTTCCTTCCGCCCCTCTTCCTCGCCAATCCACCCCTCATTTCCCTTTCGATCCTCCTTTTAACCGCGCTCTTTGAACTGCTTTGTCGCTCATCTCTCTTTTTTTCCCCTCCCTTTGTTTCAGACGTGCCCAGCGAGCAATCCGTTTTCGTCATGCTGAACGGCGAGGAGAGCGAGCTCAGATTCCTCAACATCTCGAACCCGAAGGTGAGCCGCTTCCTCCTCAACCCCTTTTTTTTCTTTATATTTTAGATCGAAGGATCGCATAATCGATTAGAATAACGTAACAAAATTCATTTTCGAATGTGTGAAAGGTATAATTGTTTCAACGTAACGTATAACTGTGCTGTTTAAAATTATTTTAAATCCTCTTTTTAATAAACGGATTCGAGCAAGATATGTAAGGCAGACAATGAATGGAGAAACATTCTGTAAATTTATCGAGAAGCATTTTAAATTTTATGATGGATACGTAACATCTGAAAACATGTATTTTGATTTAAATCGTTATTGTTTCTTGCTCTTTTTTCCTTGTAAATAAAACTTAAAATCAAGTGATTACTTTGTTAATTAGAAATTCACACGATCATTTGTCAATGATCTTTTTACGCCATATTTGATTCGTAAAACTTGAATGCTCGTCCCCTATTATTCATCATCGTGGATTTAGTTTCTCGTGTCATTTGGAATTATTCGATTGCTCATATTTTTCTTAATATTTTTCTCCCTTCCTTTCTTTTCGCGAATATTGAATATCATGAAATTTAAATTCTGGAATGATACTGCGAGAGAAATATTTTTAACGAGAGAATAATCGTGAAAATGTAGAATTATTGGTCCTGATGTAGATAATTGATTTTTCTGTTTTCCATTGTTCATTGTTTGTTTTTTGTTTTTTATCGATACGATCTGATCGATTTAATGCATGATACGATAATATCGACGGGAGAGAATTTTTGTTGTAGAATCGATCGACGAAATAATTGAAAATAATAAATACCATTGTTTCAACTTTGTAAAATCTGTGTGAAATATTCGTAACAAATATTTCTTCGTAAAAGAATAATTATGTTCGATACACAAACACGAATACAGACCTGCCTGCTTAGTTGGTTCTTATCTGCTAAAACTGTCCTTTATATTTCTGTTTCAAAAAGACGGAATTGGAGAAGAATCTGGATGCCTTTGTCATAATGTATTCCGTGATTGATAAGGCATCCTTTCAGAGAGCGGAAGAATATCTGGAACGTCTTCACGACCAGGATTTTCATCGAGGAAAATCGACTATATTAGTCGGTAACAAAGTGGATCTCGTTCGATCAAGGGTAGTTTCTTCTCAAGGTTGGTATTTATTAATGGATTGTAAAAAAATTCCCAAAATTTCGCTTTCACGAGTGATAGCGGACTATGCACGATCAGACACGTAACACGACCAAGGAGCTGATACTGAGATTTTTTACACAGGCGTTAAAAAATGTTTTTAGCAATAGACTCCAATTTTAAATTATATTTCCTATCTTTCGTTATATTTCAAAGAAAAAAAAGTCATCTTTTTATCTCGCTTCAAATAGGATTAAAAATTTCCTACAATTAATTAAAAAAATTCCGTAAAATGTCTCTCTCAGAACTCCAATCCTCCTCTTCTCGCTACACATCTATCACACACAAATCACCCCCTCCCCTTTGCAATAAATCTACAAAACTTCAATGATAAAACTTGTGTCTTGAATACAAAAAATTTCCTATTATAATTAATTAAAACATTCCATAAAATGTCTTTCTCAGAACTCCATTCCCTTTCTCACAACAATTAACTTCAATCCTCCTCTTCTCGCTACACATCTATGCACAAATCATTCCTTTATAACTTTGCAATAAACCCCGAAACCGCTACGAAACTTCGATGATAAAACTTGTGTTTCGAATACAATAGAACTTTGACACAAAAGAACTCGGAATCTAAACAAAAAATCGTCTCATTGGAGGACGAACATCTTCCTCCTCTCCCTATTCTTGCCTCGACCCCTTTTTCCATTTTATGTCCAATCCCTCCGCCTTACAGATACACCCTCCTTCCTCTCTAATTCTCTCTAATCCTTTTTTTTTTTTTTTTTTTTTTTGCTTATCCCTGATGCAGATGGCAAGTGCATGGCGTGCACGTATCGGGTGAAGTTCATCGAGGTGTCGGTCGGGATCAACCACAACGTGGACCATCTGCTGGTCGGGATCCTGAATCAGATACGTCTGAAGAACAGCAGCAACGTGTCGGAGAATCGGGGAGGGAACGGAGCCAGCGAGGGTAGCGGCCACTGGTACAAGTCGAGGGGTGTGGTTCGGGCGAGCATGAAGGCCAGACAGATGTTGACGTGGCTGTTCGGCAAAGAGGACAGCAAGTTCAAGAACTGCGAGAACCTTCACGTCCTCTAAGGAGATTCTTTCTTTTTTCCCCTCTTTTTTCTTTTTCCTCTTTTCTTAATCTATGGCGTCGTACCTGAGGACGTAGATTGTAGTAAGAGCGGTCTACTTGGTACAATAATTGTAACAATATCACGAATAAACTGCTTAATCCACGATACTTCCACAAGGAGCTGCGTGCGAACTCTCGAAAACTGTTGTTGGCATGCCAGCCAGCCAGGTATGATTGGAATCCGATGGAGATTGAATTTCGTTCAAGGGGGTAGTAGGTCTCGATACGGATGGCCAATTTGATTATTAAATATTCATGAGATGCTCCTTTTGTTCCGTGGAGACTATCCGTGGAAAAACAATCCTATCGTGCTTGTTTTATTTCATTTCGATGGAGAAATTTTTAGGGGGAATTTTAGGATTGGACAAGGATTTGAAAGGGGAATTGGATGTTTGAATGTAGAAAAATTGGAATTATTGGAAGTAATACGGTAGTTTTTTTTTTTTTTTGGAATTGTTTAGATTTTTATCTGAATTGAATTGAAAATGCTTGGGTGGCTTAAGGTGTTAATTGTATGTTGTAAATAATAAGAATGTTAATAAATATGATATAGAAGTTTTTTTCATATTTTTTTTTTTTTTAAGTTAATTTCAATTTCTTCTTTAGCTATTTTCAATTCGACAAATTGGCCATTCAATAATCACGGGATTGGAAAATTTGGAAAAAATCGGAGTGCGATCAAAGTGCCAATTAGATCAAACGAACGTTTGTTTCTCTTTCTCGACGATTAATTTTTAATTTTTAATTGTTAGCTTTTAATAAATTTCCGTCGAGGATTCCCTCGATATCTATCGTAATATCTGTAAGAATAAGTTTGTTAAGTCGTCTGTGCTGGTATTCGTTTTACGTATACGAACGAGAAATATTTCACATCTTTGGTTCTTCGAGGCAAAATTTAATGTGCGCACGATTTGATTAATCCTTTGATAATCCTATTATTTCTGATCACTTCCTTCGTAAAATATTCATTTGTCTTTCCACGTTTAATAAACGCAAATTGCGAATTGAAAATTGTGAAAATAAGAAAGATCGATGAATAATACAAATTGTTTAATTATCGCCATTTAAATTGCGCAATGAAAGATTACAATTTTAAAAATAAATCGATATACAAATTTAATTTTCGTGTTTCCGCGTACCTCGATATTTTATACTAATAAATAATTTCAAATGGCTCTTAGGGCCAGATGAAATTTAAAAGAAGCGGGGGATTTAATCGAAAGAAATGTAGTCAAAGGGTTAATCGAAAGGAGGAACCCTAGCGAGACTCGAGAAAAAGATTAAAAAAAAATATATATATATATAAAAATATCTATAAGAGAGAAGAGGAGGAGTTGAAATCTAGTCGATACGAAGGAATTTAAATTGGACCATGGCATGAATTAGCGGCCAATAATGTTACTGTCGTTACTGTACAATAAGACCAATCTAATCTTCTTAATCCGAATTGTATATACTGATAAGTTTAACAGATCTGTGTATCTATATAAGAGGAAAGGGAAGAAAAAGATGAGAGGAAGGAATAATAAAAAAAAAAAAAAAAAAAAAAAAAAAAAATAAAGGGAAAGAAGAGAAGTTGGATACGTGTGTTATATTATTATAAATATAAATAAAAATGCACTCCCTTTTAGAAGACTCAGGACGCTTCTTCTTTTAATTTTCTCTTAAAAAGAAAGTATAGCAATTGATAAAAAGTTACGATCGACGTTGATAATGACAGATACAATAAATGTCCAAAGACTTTTAAGCGGGAGTGTAATATGTCTCTACTACACGCATATACATATAACTATATTCCTGATGTACGATCAAGCATAAGTCTACGTTAGTTTTGTGTAGATGTATCGTTAAACGATTGACGTGTTGTTGTATTGCGTGTTTTCCTTAAAAAAGAACGGGTACTATGAAGAATATTCCTTTTTTTTGGGGAACATTTTACGAAAAAAAAAAAAGAAACATATGTACACATACGCGCGCACATATATATATATATATACACGTATATATCCATTGTCTATTTTCTGCGATCTCTACGCCTATGTATATCCGAATTACATATGTATAAATATATCCGTATATATAGGGTGTCAGGAAAAAAGATGGTTCAAGAAGTGGTTCTACTCGTGTAATTTTACTAATCAATTCTTTTGGAAAAAAGCAACAAACTTTTTTTTATCATCACTATTATTAATTTTATTTATTGTACGCCATCTTTTGTAAATAGCTATACACGATAAAATAATAAAATTCTTTTGTGTATATAGTTTTCCACAATTTTTCATTTGTTATCCTTTGTTACGTATTCTGTTTTTTTCTTCCTTTTTTTCTTTCTTCATTTTTTTAATTAAAAAATGAATTTATCAGCATTCTTGAACCAGATTCCTTGAACACTTTATATATCTAAAACAGTGTTGTAACAAGTATAGTTCGAGCGGTATATCCGTCTCAGGGGCCAAGCTGCAAGGCTGTAGGATAAAAAAAAAAAATAGAAACGAGGTTCATACGTTTAAATAAAAATTGAAACAGTTTATAAGCTATTCTAAGAAGTGTGTAACATTGGAAACAATCGAGAATAATGAAAAGTGATATTAATTCACAGACAAAAAAAAAAATAGTTATAGGGAACAGTATTACATTTTCTAAAAATGATTTAAAGTGTAATTAAATCGTGATTCGAAACGAGATATTAAAAATGAATTTTACTACGTGTTATAGTATTAAACGTCTCAAAGTAATGTAAAGTGAAGTCGATGAAGTTTCGAGTTTGGTTAATTTGGTAGATGGAAAATATTAGGTTAGAAAAAGGTAAACTTTCAAGTCGACGAAAATTTGGATGAAATTCAAGATAGATATTAAGCTTGAGAAGAAACGAGTAAAAGAAATTCTCATTTTAATAGTTCATAATCTTCTTCCATCCAAGTAGGATAATTTGAAATGAAAAATGAATTTGATGATTAATTTATTATCATCTGAATAATTGAATGGGAGATTGTGAAAATCAATAGCAATATAACCATAAATTCTGAAAGTAGAATAAGAATCAAATTCGAGGTGAAATTAAATCAAAATAAAAATCAAAGGAAATTACGCGATTTAAGAAATGCATCCTTCTAACTCATCAGATCGCGAGGCTATCTTCTTACAGCACTGTAAAAATCAAAAATAAAAAAGAAAAAAAAAAATTAAAAGCAAAAATGGAAGAAAGAAAAAAGAGAAAGACGGTAAAATTAAAAACGAAAAAAGGTATAAATTTAAGTGAAAATTATTCCTTTGTCGATAAACTTTGTTCGAAAATTAATGGCGAATTAATGACATTGTTATGTCGATCGTTTAATTCCCTCTATCTTTTATCAATTGCGAAACGAGCCAAGGTATTGTCGTTTGCCATCGGTTTGCGTCATTATTGCTAGTATTCTTGAATTAATTTAATTAAAAAAAAGAAAAAGAAATCAAAAGATCGAATTCTATGAAAGCATGACTCGAGCAAGGATGAAAATAAGAGAGAGACAAAGAGAGAGGAAAGGAAAAGGGAATTCTTATCAAGTGCCTTTGTGTATTTTTGTAATTTAAGCTAAAAACTACTCGATGTAAGTCTTAACCCAAAAAAATAGAACAGTGTAACCATGAAACGATATATCGATACTGCAAAAGTATGCTCTTATTAATTTTTGATAATTCGTTGTACCGTGCTTATAAACTTTATATCTATTCTTTTTTTTTTTTTTATTTATTTATCTGTTTCTTCATTTCCACGATCGAACCTCCATAACTCTCGAAAACTTTCTACGAGATTATAATTTCGTCTATTCCTATTCTATATTTTGGTTAAAAAAAAATATCTTTGCAAAAATGAATCTATCCATTTTAATTGGAATTATACTCCTCTACTTGGATAACGAGTAGAATAATTGTAGAATAATTTTCCAAAAAATGTAAGAAAAAAAAAAAAAAAAAAAGAAAAAACGAAAAGCACTCTCACGAACAGCCTTTAAGATTCGAGTTTCGAGGATCGATCGTAAACACCCTCTCCTTATTTTCTTCGTTTCTTCTTATCATTTCCCCTCTTCTTTTTCGTTTCGATATTCGAGAGAATGTGGATAATCAAATCGAAAATCTGAAAATCCATCTTCCATGAACTTTGTCAACGAACGGAAATTCGAAGAATTTACTGAAAATTTAAATGAAAATAAATGAAAATAAAAACGTCTCTTGTTCGTGATTATATATGGCACGAATCTCGTTTGAACGAATATCCACTTTCAATGATCACTTTCATCGATGTCTACCGATTAACTACTGTTCCCAAGGCGAAATTCAATTTCGATGTTGTTATTAAAAAAAAAAAAAAAAAAAGGTAATGAAAACGTTATCATCGTTCGTTCGTTCTTTTTTGCGCGAGTGGTTGTGCGTGACCGTGACAATACTGCCAATTCTTCGGCCGATAGGGGATCTATCGAACGACTCGATTTACGAGGCAAGGGAAAGACAACGGAGATGAGAAAGAACCAATGAACCAATTCTTGGACACGTTGTATATGTGCGGTATATTTTAATGTAAGGCAACACGCGTCATCCAATGGGTAACGAATGGCTCTAATCCCGAGGGATTATTGTGTAATTGGGTGATAATAAAGAAGTGACATTCGAACTGTCGATCATTTGTATTTTTCTTCTCGCGTTTCTTCCCATTTCTTTCCCATTTTTTTTTTTTTAACTTTAATTTCGAGTTTAGAAGCGAGATCCTTTTCTTCTTGTTGCGATTTACACCTTTTTTTTTACTTTTGCTTTGATCAAAAGACAAGCTACTAGCGATCCATGACGATTTTTTTTCTCTCTGAGGAATAATTGGGATTATTGGTATTTCATCCTCTCTATTTATATTTTATATAACACACTGCTATATACTTTCTAATTCGACATAATTTTCCAATATCTGTTAATTTCTCTATTCTCTTCTTTATTACTTTTCAAGATATCTTCCTTTTCTTCTTTCGTATTGGAAGTTTTACCGATCCTTCGTGTGCCCACGTAAGAACAGTAAACGAAATGAAAGTTTCAAAATCGTACTCGGCTTCTGATTTTAGATCGCAGAGAGAGCCGTGAACTTTTTCGATAAGTAATACACACACGGTTCCGCGCTCAAAGACCTGTACTTTTTCAATGTTATACACCGTCGTAAATCTCGTTGGGGATGCTCGGTTGATAAATAATCCGGCGGGCCGAACGCATGCGCCTTGGCCATCGATTATTTTGATTGGTGCCAGATATTACCAGGCTCCAGTTCGTGGCAGTTTGCCACAAAGGAAAACGAAGCTCGAATTCCCCGTTAACCTCGAGCGCTCGGATAAACGATAACAAACGATATAAAAGCGTCAAAAATTTCGAAGAGTGAAACATGTTACTTATGCTGGATAAAATTGCGGGGAAAATTGCGAGGAATTGACAGTATCGAAGTTTCACGTCGATGGAAATTTCGAATTGAATATTCATGGTCAGTTTGACATGCGTGAAGGGAGGAATTTTTGAACTTTTCTTATACATAGGGTGTATCTTCGCGTAGATATGAAACGAATTGGATTTTCAATCGAGTTTTTGATTTGAGAGGCAAATTTTTGTTAAAGTTAAGGAAGAATAATGGAGAAATTTTTTGGAAGAAGGTATTTTTTTTTTTTTTTAAGTTCTTTTTAGACAATTTAATTGTTAACTGTATTTATTAATTTTCGTATATTGACTCAGAGATTTTCATTCTTTTACTTGTACTTCACGTATTTTAAATATTTTGAGAACTAAACAGAAGAAATCGTGGCAAAAATGAGAAGCTAAAAAAAATTGATTAAAGAAAAAAAAACAAGATATATATATATATATTTTTTTTTTTACGAAAAAAAGGAAAAACTCTTTCCACAAAACACGTTTTATTTCTCTTGCGTATACACCCTTGCGTATGCACATATTTCCCCTCCCTTCTATTTACCCACGCGGATATTTGCTGAAACTCGATTCAAACTCGATTCCTCCTTGCGTATTCCTGGATTCGTTTATTTCCACAGAGTTCCCTTTAAATTATATCCAGCAAATATCGTCCAGTTTTTCGAGAAAAATCCGATTCGTTCATAATCGTGGATAAATTCGATCCATTAAGAAAAATCATGAGTACGACGAAACCGACCAGCTGCAAAGAGGCGATCCGAATGTGGGAGGAAGAGAATAAACAAGACGCCTCGACCGCGAAGGAAATGATCCTCAGCTTTCGATGGCCGCCCATAGAAAAAATGGACAATTCTCTGGCGGTTTTGGTCAATTGTGAAAAGCTCTCCCTCTCGACGAATATGATCGAAAAGATTGCGGGTAAACGTATCTTTTCTCACTCCATATTTCGTTATTTTTACCGCTTATTCTTTAAATTTCTCGAAATTGAAATTACTTTCGAATTCGATGATTTTTCATTCTAATCGTAATATATATACACGTCTCCGTTTAAATTCGAAGAATTCAACGATTGTTTCGAATAATTCGAATACGTATCGCGAAGTGTTCATTAATTCGAATTTATGATCGAGAATAATGAAATTGACTGGGCAAATAATTTCACGTAAATGGAATTACGTTGCGGGTCACGAGAAATGGATCGTAGTTACTGGTCGACTTCCTTAATTGACGTTTAATCGCATCACGATTAATACGACTAGATCGAACGAAAATTCGATTATAAATGGATCTTTCTAAACATCGTGCAAACATCTCTTGGATTCGTTATATTTTGAAATCCACACCTTATATCCTCTCTTTAATCATTTTCTGGTTTAATTTACAAGAGTCTCATAATCGTTCTTTAAATTAACAAATTTGATCCTTGTTAATTTTTGTCCTTTAACTAGCTTGAAACTTTGATAAAATGGTGAAATTCGATTATTAAATTACCTTCTTAAAATTTTCAGTCGAATCAAAATGAAATTAAAAAAATTGTCGAAACAGGAATCGGAACGTTGAAGAATCTGAAGATCCTCGCGTTGGGCCGCAATCTGATCAAATCGTTCGCCGGATTGGAGCCATTGGGCGACACTCTCGAGGAACTTTGGATTTCGTACAACCTGATCGAGAAAATGAAGGGAATCAACGCGATGAAAAATTTGCGCGTCCTCTACATGTCGAATAACCTGGTCAAAGATTGGCACGAGTTCAATAGACTTCAGGAACTCACGAATCTTCGTGATTTACTTTTCGTCGGAAATCCATTGTACGAGAGTCTCGAGGTAATTTCACTCTTGATCCTTGAGCTCGCGATCATTGTAATGGTCGTTTTCGTAATTTAAAGAATTAGGTTATGATCAAAAGAATAAAAATCTTATTACGAGTTTAAAATTTTTTGTTTGATTGAAGGAGTGAAAAATTCGACGACGATATTTGATTTAATTTTCAGGTTGAAATCTGGAAATCGGAGGTAGCTAAACGTCTGCCAATGTTAGAAAAATTAGACGGTGAATTGATCATACGAACAGAGGAAACAGAGACTTCGTTGCAACTTGACAGTCCTGTGCAAATATGAAGACCAGTGGATTGTTTATAAATCTTTTTTCGATTGCTATATTTTTATATTTTATTTTATAATTTATTTGATAAGCTATTTATTTCTCGTCCGTTTACTTTTTCTATTATTTTTATTTCTATGCGATTTTAATTTTGTATGCAAGTATACATGTACAAAGTTGTAAAATAAATATTTTTGTAAAATCAATCAATAATTCGATCATTCTTTGCGATAAAAAAAAGATATAAAAAAAGAGCATAGCATATCTCTTTTGCACAACACGAAAGAGAAACATATCTCTATAATACAAAATAGAAGTGAATCGAGGAAAGTGAGGTTATGTAAGTAAATGGGACACAGCGATAATTTCGTACATTTATATTAATTTATTCGTCTTACGATACAAGACAAATCGTACATACGTTTCTGGTGATTGTAAAAGGTTGAAAAAAGCAAATAGAGTTCGATTGGATTCGATGCACGAGATAATACCGAGGATCGGACAGACGACATTTTTGAGAGATCATCGTTTCTTTTTCTTCTTCATCATTTTCATTATATATATTCTTAAATTCATTTTCACGTATTTCTTTTCATATCCTCTTATATTTTTCGAAGGCGTTCGCGATATAGATACGAAGATTTCTTCGTCGATCTTCTCCTCCAGTTTCTCTTCATTTTTCTTTCTTTCTTTCTTTTTTTTTATTCGTTTCTTATTATTTTTTATTTTTTTAAATTATTTTTATTATTCTCGCGTGTGTACGTACGTACGTGTGTATGTAGACGCAAACGAGACGCGCGTGAATAAACGGTGCAATAGAAAAATTGACGAGTGTGCGTTTTGTCGTTCACATTTCCCCATACCGAGATCTATGTTCCTAGTTACTTTTTGGTCGCCAATCGATCGTTGTCCTCGCATCTAATTTCTTCTTATTTATCCCCCGCCACTTTACACCCTGCCTTCCACATCTTTTTCAAAGGGACTAGGCTAACTAACGATCGAGATTCGAGAAAAAGGCGAGACTGTTTCGCGAATTGTTCTCGAATCTTTGATCACTCGTCCGAATTTCGTCGAATCGATCGATTCGATTTAGAGACACGAAACGCGGCGTGTCGAGAGGAGAGTTTATCAGGGAGAAACAGGTGTGTAGAAAGATTTCAGATTGTACGAGCAAAATCAAACACCGCGATCATCCCCGACAAAGAGGGGGGCACAGATATACGCGAGGATAAGGTGTGTACAGACACTTTCGCCGGTTTTTTTTCTTAATTATTCGATTAAATTCATTATACATATGCGTGTAACGTGTGTGTATGTGGTGGTTTATCCGCGTATACATCCTTACGTACACGTGCAACACGGGCGCAAGAGATCATCGTTCGTCCATCATCGAATTTTCATTTCTCTCTTTTCTTCCCTTCCTTCTTTCGTCAATTCCATTCTCGTTTTTTCCCCCTCTTCTTATTTCTTATTCTTATTTACTTCTTTTTTTTTTTTAGATCGATCATTTCAACCTGTTTCGATTTCGGCCGAAATTTCCGTCGCGATGCGAGATTCGACGAAAGAATCCGAACTCGCGCGAGTATGCGCGAAGGGACGTGCAAAAGTATTTGCAACTTCGAGAAACTGTTTCGAGAAGAGTTTCTCATCGATGAAATCCAATGATCGTTGAATCCATCCGATGAGATTTTTTTTTTTCCCAGGTTTTTATTTTGAACGGGTTTAAGTTGACGCTTTTCCTCAAACATTTACGCTCGCTTCTGCCTCACCTTGCGTTTAATACGCGCGCGAGATCGGGATAAAAGTGTCGCTGGATTATAATTATACTGGATCGAGAAGTGAGAAACGACGCGGTGGAAAGATAGAAAGAGACATTAGCCAATGATGAGTAAGAAAAATATCGTATATCGACTCTCTGCGGGATTTGCTTTGTAATCGTCGAGGCGATGCGAATCGGCGATGAATATTTCGTTACTTTCAATAACATGGCGCGTTGTACACATATATTTATTTCAATTCATCCCATTTCCTCGTTTATTTATTATCGGTTTATAAATTTGTATTTAAAGGGAGCAACGAGACACTTCCCCTTCGATGGACGTATCGAGATTCGTAATGAAATCTCCCTGCCATCCCCTGTTTTGATCTTTCGTTTTTGATCTCGAAAAAGAAGAAGAGTCCCTCCCCCCGTTTTTTCGAACGTTTTACTCCTGTGTCATGGCCGTTTAGCATTGCTTCGAGTTTTCGACGGTCTCGACGATAGCATTTTTTTTCTTTTTTTTCTTTTTTTTTTTTTTTTTTTTTAACATTTATCCTTAGACACATCACGCTGACAAATTTAAACGATTTTTTTTTAACAATATTTTCTTCTTTTTATATCTCGCTCTTTTTGCGATCGGATTTTTTTTTTTTTTCTTTTCTGTCCACACAAAAATAGTTCTGATAATATACATATGCTCTCTCTCTCTCTCTCTTTTCTTTTTACTCTCTCTCTATATATTTCGTTTCCTTTCTGTATTATTTAATTTTCTTTAGTTACCAACACCGATTATATTCAACACGATTTACACTGAGAAATGTCTGACAAGGGTGAAACGAGGGAAAGAGAGTCGACGAGCTTTCCGCGGGGATGGATTGTTTTTCTCCTTTAGCTTCTCTTTTCTTTTCTTTCTTTTTCTTTTTTTTTTTTTTTTCTATTTTATTTTCTTCCTTCTTCTTTCGATTATCGAAATTTTAACATCGATCCTTTAAACAACCGAAATTTTTCCTTTTCCGCGGTGCTGCTCTCTTGTTTCGTTTCTCGTCAGCCCCCCGTTTTACGTCGAGGCGAATCGTTGCTTCTGCTTCTTCACGAAGTCGAGGGCCATCTTGTCGCCGACCCTCGTCTCCAGAATCTGGAGAATCGGATGATCTGGAATGAAGGATAGTTTAATTAACGTATAATAAATTTTTGAAACGAAGAACAAAAAAATTCTTAATGATTCTTTATGACAATATTTAATTTACGTAACCGCGATTGCATAAATATATCAGCAATGGAATAACGATGTCAGATCAAACCAGATTTAATTAAATTTCGAATCCATATTTGATCTAATCTTAATTGGTTACTAAAATTGTTTTACCCTTCCAACGACACAAAAATCACACTAGCATTTAATAAAGTATCAATTAATCTTACAAAAACCATTCCTCGAACAAATATAACGTTTCTATTTCGCCTCTTTCGATTGCCAAGCTTCAAGAAATTAAACGAATCGAGCTTACTTCGATTCTTTTGATGCATCAAAGGTAATTCGGTGTGTTTGAGGCCGTGGAAATTGTCTATGCTGGCGTTCGTGTCGGTAACACCAGGTATCGTGCTCAATCCTAAGAATGCTTCGCCCGCGAAGTCATTCGCCGTGAGGACGTCGTGATCCATTACGGTGAACAGCACCATGGCATCTGGACTTCGACACTGGTCCACGCTCACAGAGCTACGAACAAGGATTCGTGATTTAACGACAGAAAAATATGTAAAAGATATGTCAAAATATGAATAATTATCTAATAAAGCAAAAAAAAAAAAAAAAAAAATCATAACTTTTACTCAGAAATTATATTTATAAAAGTATATAATAATATTTGGGTATACCTCGAGATATGATTTAATGTTAAGATGTAGTTCGGATGGTTTATAAAAATTTATATTTCTCACATTTATATTTTTCGTATATTAATATATACTTTTTTTCCAAGATTAATTTTTCAATGTTTATTTAATTTCTAATTTCATTTGAAACAGTTGCAGATTTTTCTTTATTATCATAATTAATAATTTCTAAATATTGAAAAGTTGCCGCGCTTTCTGTTCTATAAATTGTCGATAAGTTAGGCAAGGATTATTAAAAACTTCGGTCAGCGCCATCTCGCGTTTGGACGCGAGAAGCTTCGACTTGTTATTAGCATAGCAGGATATATAAGGAGGTATACGTACTCATAAACAAGGAGAGCAATAGTGTGCGACAAGGAGAGAGAAAATATTTCGATGGCGCTAGGGAGAAAATTAATTAATTATTAATTTTCCGCTGAAAATTTCTAAACTTTTAAATTTGCATCTTAAAGTTGAAACTTCTAACAAGTTTCTCATATAAATTTTAGCGAAAAATTTCTTTCAATTAATTATTTATGAACAATTAATTCGTCATATTTCTCAATGCATGGGAGACGCTATATTGAAAAATGATTAATTGTTAATTTTTAACTAAGAATTTCTATAATTTTCTAATTGCATCTTGAAATTAAGACCTCGGACAAGTTTCTCGTATCAATTTTAATGCGAGCTTCCTTTTCATTAATTATTTATTAACGATTAATGCATCGTACTTCATAATAGATCGAAGATATCATCTTGAAAATCAATTAATTATTAATTTTCTACTAAAAATGTATGCACTTTTAAGCTTGTATTTTAAAGATAGAACTTCAGACAAGTTTCTTTTAACAATTTTAATTTAAACTTCTTTTCCAATAATTTTTTATTAACAATTGTTTTAAAGAATATCTTAGTCGCGAATTCTCACTCCATACTTGAATAACAAACAATCAATTTATTTGTATAAATAACAATAAAATTACGAATATAAATTATACGTGAACGTAGGAGATGAATCAATATTTAAGATATATACATTCATATCTAAAAATAAATCTCATAAAAATGTTAAATTAATGAAAAACGTATTATATTATATCAATCGCATCGATATGATGAATTAATTTTTAATAAATAATTAATTAAAAAGAATTTCTCATTAAAATTTATATGAGAAACTTGTTTCGAGTTCTAGCTTCAAGATACAATTTAAAAGTTTAGAAATTTTCAACAGAAAATTGTTAATTAATTAATTTTCTTTCTGGCGCCATATTTTTTTCTGTCTCTCTTGCACATTATTGCGCTCCTTGTTTATGAGTACGTATACCTCCTTATATATCCTGCTATGCTAATAACAAGTCGAAGCTTCTCGCGTCCAAACGCGAGATGGCGCTGACCGAAGTTTTTAATAATTCTTGTCTAACTTATCGACAATTTATAGAACAGAAAGCGCGGCAACTTTTCAATATTTAGAAATGTTAATTCAATAATAAAGAAAAATGTACCTAAATTTTTCTCATGAACAAAGTGTACTTTATATTTCCATATATCGTTAAATTCTATATGTATTTTTATATTTTTTTTATAAATTGCGGATGCAATAATAATATAAAAAGATAAATATAAAACAAATAAATATATATAAAATTCTATAAATTTTTTATATACAACTTTCTTTAGATTATATTTTTCCGTTTGTAAAATTGTAAAGTTTAAAATACAATGATGTTTTAAAAATCCAAGAAAAATATTGAGTGTCTTTTATTTTTCTGATACCCAAATTATAAATACAGATAAAAATTTAAAAAATTTTGATTTTGTAGGAAAATATAATCCGAATAAGATGAAATGAAATTTTTCTATTTTCAAAATTAAAAGTTTTCTACACGTAGAATATATTTCTATCGAATAATAAAAATACTTACAATTCAAAACATTCGTCGAACATAGGATTCAAAGTTTTCTTTTTCACGTTGGTGTGCTGCTCGGCACAGTGTTCAAAGATTCTTCGTGGCAACAGTTCGATTATCACGAAAGGATCACTGTAACCATTTGGATCTAGCGGTATCACGTCTCTGGCATTTATAACTTCGACGCATAAAGAGTCGTGATTTAAATATGCTCTCACTGTTAGAACGCCATACTCAGAGGATACGGTATTTAGTTGGTCCTGAAATGAATTTTAATTTATTATATTAAATTACAATTTGTTTATAGTATAATTAAAAATATGTTTCTAAAAAAAGGAAAAATTATTATTTTATATTTTATATTAACCTGAAGTCGTTGTCGATAAAATCGGTCAATTAAAAATGTTGTATCCATTTTGTGATACTGAAGACGTTCTTCGACATTCAAGAAACTTTGACAGTGTAGTACTTCATATGACAAACCTTTTTCATCCTCGTGGAAGAATTTCACTAATAAATCAAGAGCCTCGTGAAGTCTTTCGTAAAACATCGCTGGTTTATCCTGTATAAAAATTTTTCAATAAATTAAACTATACCAATATCAATTCTTTCTTTATCTATTGATAAATATTTAAAAAATAATCTTTTAGAAAATATCACAGATATTAATATATTCGTAAAAATAAATAATTTTTATTTATAGAATTAAAATTCCATTTACTCCCGCATTTCCATCCATTTGATTGCTCAATTCGGCCAACACCACTTCCCAGATGTCTTGAAGGACTCGATTGAAATTTACCGAGAGCAGAGCCGAGTTTAGCACTACCAAGTGCATGTCTAAATATTCGAGCAATGGTGCAATAGCCTCCGAAGTGGGTAAACTGTCTGGTGACCAAGCCAGATGAAACATTGCTTTCTTCAATGGTGGTCTCATCTGCGAATTAATTAAATCAAATTGTTTTTTACATTCATTCATGACAAATCATATAAGAAATGAAATAAATG